CAAATATCAGAAAGAGTAAGATAGGCACTTATTTTCTGGTGTATCTGAGCGCTAAGCGTTGAAGAATGAAAGTGACCAGAACTTTCTATTAAGGCATTCAAGGCCAAATTTGAATCTCGAGAAGTGGCTTGGGAATTTGAGGCATCAATGGCTGTTAAGAGACTAGCGATGAAGAGGATGGCCAAGTTGTGTTCGAGGAGGCATTTGTTACGCTCGTATCCAAACAGGTAGCCACGCCAGAACAAATTGTTCCATGGCCGGTTCAACGCACTGGACAATTCGTAAGAAAAAATATGTAGGCAAAATCTATAGTCTAAATGGTTTAGGATAAAATAAATAATTCAGACCACTGTTATGCTGAGTAAATAGGATATTTGAATTTATTGACAATTATATTCCGAAATTTAGCTGAAGTGGCCTTAAATTTATTTGTACCTAATTTAATCATTATGTAGTGATATAAACGCATTTCACACAAAACTTTAGTGTATTAAAGAATAACAATTAGAGCACAAATAGATAGAAATAATAAACATCTCGTTAAATAGGATAATGGTGATGTAAATAGTTATAGCTTATTACTAGGCGTCTGAATAAAAGTAACTAGCTTGAACTTCAATCAAAAAAGCTAAAAACCTATTGTAATTTAAAACCACCATAAAAATAACATACAGTCTTTTAATAAATTCCTTTGCCATTTCTTCGGAAATAAGAGGACTAGACTTTTCTTGATCTATCAAAGTTTGCGATGTCAGAGAATTCAAATCGGATTTTGACTTCTTGCTTGGATGTTTGATTAATTCGCATGAGGCCTGCTGATTACAGGAAGTAGGAGATGATACTCCCCGAGGAGATTGAGTCCCATTAACCGACAAATCTGGCTTCAACTCCACAGGGCAGTACAGACTACTAGTATCCGCAGCAGTCTGCAGAGAATCAATGGAAAGAGAAGTCAATACAAATGGATGATCTGCCTTTATCTCAAGTCTGGCATCATGAGTAAGCGTTATGGACTTAGTTTTGGAAGCTGTGTCTAAAGGAGAGTAGGCTGAGGTAGATTCGGGTTGCGATGCGGAATTCGATACTTCATCATCGTCTAATTGACCACCAGAGTTATTATCTGATAATGATCCATCGTCATCGGAGATTCTAGAGGGTAAAAAATAATATCGTAAAATAATTAAGTTCAGGTTACAAGAAACTAATGAGACAAAGAAAAAAGTCTATGGGATTCTAAGATAAATTTCTATTTTTACTCCACTAATTCAAATTCATTTTAGCCCAAGATCGATTAAGCTTTAATACACTCTACCCGTATTGACCACTTTCTGTGATAAATAAACTACGTCATGATATATGAGGAAATTGTATATTCAAACAAAGTAAACTTATCCAAAACATTATATATATTAAATGACATTCAGGTGCTTATGGAGTCATAAAAAGTGAGTTCAAAAAAAACCAAAGGCTAACTTTTTGTTGTTGTAGAGAATTGCATCCCCATCTGGAATCAGCCGTAATCTAGCGATGAGGTCGACCTACGAATCTCTTCATCATACATTCTCATAGGAACTAAGTGTCCCCACAACAATCTTATCTCAGAAGATTCACTGAAGCCCGCTTTTTATTCGTATAACTGTTCTACTGTAACTGATCGCAAGAAAGCAAAGTAAATAGGCAATATTTGTTTTTGATGGTGAACATCGTGTTTTCAAGCAGGTAATTTTTCGTCGTGCATTAATAAAACTAGTAGGAGTGCTATGCATCAGGAAGCATGATACCTTAGTTAGGAAGACCAAGGCTTATTCACAATCTCCTATAGTTGTAAAGCCTGGGTCTGGCCATGATTTTGTAACTTGATTGGAGCAACAGGGATACCTCTTGGAACATACCTAGTTCTGAAGAATAACTGGGCTTCGATGAATTTCCTGAGTTAACATTAGTGTTAGGAATTTCATTTTCTATGAAAGTGTATAATAAGAGATTCTAAGGTCCATCTCACCAAAATAGGACGGTTGAAGCCTGTTGTACTGCAGCCTTATGGCTTTTATACGACTTTGAGATTGATGCAGTCCACGAGACATCCTCCCTCTGGGCTTTCGTTCATCATATGATGGACATCATCAGAACTGGGACTCATTCTTGAAAAATTCCCAAGTTAACACTAAGGCAAGAATGAGTCCCAACTCTGATAAGGTCCAGTATATGATGGACGAAAGCTCAGCCCGTTCTCACCGGAAAAGAGGAAGGTCTCGCGGACTCCATCAATCTCAACGTCGTATAAAAGCCAAACGGCTGCAATACAACAGGATTCAACCGTCCTATTCTGGTGAGCTCGATTTTCAAATATCTTCTGAGTACACTTTTATATGAAAAGAAAATCCTAACAAAACCTAGTTCTGCGTCCTTTGCTATATTAATTAGAATTGTTCTCCCCATCGAACCATTAACCTGGCAAGTCTAAGGCGTTAAATCGGCAACTTATTCAGCATCGTCGGGGCGATGCGCTATTCATAAAAAAATAGTTACAACTTATCGAAGTAACAGGTAAAGGCAATTGCCTTGAACAAGTTTATGTTAGGCCTTTGTGATATCTCTTCTCCCTCTTTTCTCTAGTTCCAATCTCTGCATCCCTATCTCCCAACCCCACTTTATATGTCCCATTTACTCATTCACTCTATTATGTCTTAGTGACCCCAATGTCGCCTAAGAATGTGTCAGTTGAAGTTGATTTACTGAAGCATACTCAACTTTACCGCAGGTTTCACATCCCGTTCGCGGTGCTTCTAAGAGACAATCAGCACTTTTACTTAACCTACTTCCGTCCCGTTTGTTAGCCTTTCTCAAGCGAAAAGCACTGTTCAACGTACAATGGACGCAATCACATACAGTAAGATTACGGGAGCAAATATATAAATGTTTTGAGGGAGGATGCAGCTGTTCGGTCATAAATGCATCTAATCCGCATTTTCATTTAGCCTACCTACATTCCGTTTATTAGCCTTTTTCAAACGAAAATCACTATTCAATTGGCTGTCAATTAGCCCTTT